ACACACACACACACACACACACACACACACACACACACACACACACAGAGTTTGAGATAACTCCAGGTTGTTCAGATCGGATAGATGATGCTTGTGGACTGTAATTTCCAAATAGTGCCACAGATTCTTGCTTGGATTAGACTTGGCCACTGTAGAACATTCACGTTTTTGTTGTTAAATCAATCTTGTGTTGCTTTGTGTCTTGATCAATGTCCTGCTGAAAGGTGAAATTGCTCCCAAGCTGTGGTTCTTTAGCAGAATGATGCAGGGTGTGCTGCAGTATTTCTCAGTATTTTGCAATTTTTCAATTTTAACATGATGCCCAGTCCTTGCTGAGAAAATGTATCTGAGCAACACGATACAGTCACCCCATATTGCACTGTTGGGATGGTGATGAGGAATGGGCAATGTTAAGTTTGTACCACATACAGCATTTTGAATTTTGGCCAAAAAGCTCCATTTTCATCTTATCTGACCACAAAACTTCATCTTACTGGGCCCAGATATGCTATGGTGTGCTTTTTAGTAATGGCCTCTTTTTAGCCTCCCCCCACATACTGGCTTGTTCTATGCAGAGCTCTTTTTATAGTTGACTGGTGCACCTTTACTCCAGTTGCAGTCACTGAAGTCTGTAGTTCCTTCAAAGTGATTGTTGGCCTTTCTGTGGCTTCCCTCACAAGTTCCCTTCTTGCTCTGACGCTGAGTTTTGAGGGTCGGCCTTGTCTAGGCAGTGCCTGGGTGGTATGATGCAGCTCCCATTTTCAACAGTTGATCCGACAGCACTCAGTGGGGTATCCAAACACTAGGATGTTATTTTGAGGCCTTTACTTATCTTCTGCATATCTATTACTTTATCTCTAATTTTCTTAAGAATGCTCTTTGGTGCTCATTTTCACAGCTTTTCAGATTCACAGTCTGGTATTGAATTAAGGGGCTATTTTATCCAGAAAAGGTGAACATTTTTAGTGATTAATATGTAGAGTCCAATTGTAAGCCAAGTTTGTCCTCGGACAGACTGTTTCATGTGTGTAAACTTGGAGCTTTCACAGCATAGGAGTTGAATACTTATGCAAACAGCATTTTTCAGGTAGTAATTTTGGTCACAATATATTTTCTAATATAAAACCAAAATCACTATAAATTAATTAGCCTTTTTAAAAGTAACATATAACACAGCACAAAAGATCATAAGCTTTGAATGTCTGTATTTAATGTAGTATGGCCAAAAAATGTAAATGTTAATTGATGTTAGCTTTGCCCTAACATAATACCAGAATCAGCAGAAATTAGCTTTACATGTGTTATTTGTAAACAAAGAACAAATAAGGAAACCTTTTTATGACTTTTATGAGTGGTAAGACAGAGTCAAGCTCAGGATCAGCATCACACCCTCCTCAATGTGACACAGCACAAACACTACAGACTACAAATGTACACAGAGTGTAAATGTAATCAATACCCTGCAGGAATTTTCATTTCCAACTAATATTACAAAATGTGGCTAATCTATTTCAATGTTAACAGACAGAATATACTCAAAATACAATGTGTAACTCAGTAACTGCATTCACTTTATTCCGGTAGGCTTTGACGCTGCAGGAGTGTGACATTCAACACCCCTTCCACCACTCCATCCCTCCCACCTCTCCCTCCATCTCTCCACCTGCGAGAGGTGACTGCGTAAAAGGTGACTGGCTTGGTTCACGGTCACGTAGTCTTTACTAAATGTCAGAGCAGCCGAAACTAACTAGGGGGCTGTCGCCTGCCGACACATAAATTTCTCACCACAGCCACAGGGGTGCGAGAGAGAGAGAGAGAGAGAGAGAGAGAGAGAGAGAGAGAGAGAGAGAGAGAATGCATGGTTACTTTATGACAGTTGAGACAGAGACAAAGCGAACCCAAAAAACCAGAGTCTCTTTGGAAAGGAGCATATATAAACTCTTACTGCAAAGTAAGCCTAAGACGTACATACTGTATATATATATATATATATATACAGTCACATATATGCATTAATGAAATTAAAATGCATTAATTAAACATCCCTGGTCTGGTAGCTAAGTGACAATTAGCTAACATTTCCTCTACAGGGAACATTAAATAAATATAATATGTTATATTTAATACAAATGCAATTTTTTGCCTAATTTTTGTGTTAGTTCTCTTATCTCTACAACAGCTGCCACTTTAAAACTTCAAAGTTCTATGCTTTGTCAACATGGTTGATGATAGACTCAAGACAGTTTTTTAATATTTCCCAAAAAAGGTGTCTTGATCTCGATTGAGTCAAGATTCTATATGAGGGGTTTCATATATTTACATATATTTGCTTAAATCCAACCCACAAATATTTCCTGCGTTCCTGTGGTCAAATATTTACACCTGACGTGTAGATTTGCTTCAACCACCGGACACCTAACATAAGCTACAGTATATAAAATCAGCTTAGACTGATGCCTACAATGTTAAAAGCATAAGCGCTGCATACAAGAGGAACTATTCAAACAAGAACCCAAAGCATTGTGAACACTGCACATTTAGGAGGCGTGGCTGCAATTTAGCTAAAACTAACTCACCCTGTTATTCTAATTGACCAATAGTTAGTTTAATCTGCATTCATTAAATTGTGGTAGCTACAGTATAGCAAAATTAAGAAATGAATGGAATTATTAAAACCTCAGAATTTACCACTTTCTTTTTGCCAAAACTTCACTCACGTTCAGCAGAGACACTGAGGCTATCAAAATAAAAGTCCCACATAAGTCTATTGTTAAATGCAAGTTAACTTGATTCAATTTAACACCAAATATATTTGTTAAACACTACTACTACTCCTCCTACTAAGAAGAAAGAAGAAGAAGAAGAAGAAGAAGAAGAAGAAGACGAAGAAGAAGACGAAGAAGAAGACGAAGAAGACGAAGAAGAAGAAGATGAAGAAGAAGACACCTAACATTTAACCTAAGAACTGTTAGGTTATTAGTTCAAATTAATGGTCATTTATCCTCCTTCTGGAGATCTACCTTCCGGCTGGATTCACTTCCAACCCAAATCCCACACATTTGATCCGACTAATCATGCACCACTGAATAAAATCCTAAGTGTGGTAGATAAAGGTCAGATCTAAATCGTGCAGTGAAGTAAAAAGCAGGGTTGGTATCTACTGATTTAGATAATCAGGCTGATGCTTCTTCCAGCACACCCTGCCAATCTTACAGCTGAAATAATTAACCCTAACCCTCAACATTAATTGTCCAGGAAGATGAAGTCTCTGTCTTCAGGCACTGACCCACAAAATATCATTCTTATTTATCCCAGTTAACCTTCACCCTCTCATAAACCTGCAGACTGCTTGTAAGTACTGTAGCATCCTCCTGACCCGTAACCATGACTGCAACACCATCTGCGTCTGCATGAGCAGATAGTAGAGACAGTTATCCTAAAAGTGTTAACCATCTCAGGGCTGATACTCCAAAGACATCTCCTTAATATACATTACTGTTCGGTGGCAAAACTATATAACTGTGTAATACCATTACCACACTAGAACGAGAGAGAGAGAGAGAGAGAGAGAGAGAGAGAGAGAGAGAGAGAGAGAGAGAGAGAAAGAGAGAGTGTGTGAGAGTGAGAGAGAGAGAGAGAGAGAGAGAGAGAGAAGAAAAGAGTGGATGAAAGAGAGAGAGAGAGACAGACAGAGAGAGGTATGGGGAAAAAGAAAGAGAGAGATGGAGTGAGAGAGAAGAGAAAGAAAGAGAAGGTAGAGGGGAAAGATAGAAAAAGACACAGAGAGAGAGAGAAAGAAAGAAAGACTGAAAGAGAAAGGGAGAGAGTAAAAGGAGAGAGAGAGAACCGTGATTTACATTACTGAAGCACGTCAGCAAAACGCAGCATGAAACCAAGCGGGAAGGTTATCTGAAGGGAACGAAGGAAGAAAGTATAGATGGATGAAGAGAAAGAGGAAATTCATTAAAAGAGGTGTGTGCAGGGTGGAGGTGGGTAAGAGGTGATGGATATTTCCACCAGAGAAAATGCTGAGTGAGCAAAGAGCAGAGAGGTAAGTTATAACCTGAAGGTGAAGTGAGTGTATTATGGGCACCATTTGACCAGCCATTTCAGAGTGAGGCTAAAAAATATCATGATGTACAACAGAAGTGCTGGAGGAGCCCAGCTATACCTCACCTTACTGCATTTCTACATAAAACAATCAAGATATACTTTACATCTCGCCTACATTATGTTCTGTTGGATTCTAGCCTTTTATAGTTATATACTGTTATAAATGTTATAGGCATACTGTTTACGTTTATGCTTTTAGAGGGGGGTTTCACTGATTGTCTAACATTTCTGCGTAAGTAAATGTGTAAGATGTAATTAAAGTCATCCAGAGCAGTTTGATGTGAAATGCTCCATTCAACAGTGAGAACTGTTCAGAGTAGTTGTGATAAGAGCCAACATGTCTGAAGAGATCGATAGCTCTGAAAGCTGCATCACTAAAAGTTATTACGTGGAATGGTTATGAATACACTGCCTGATGCATGCAACATTGTTTTTGACAGTTTTGAGTAAAGATTTCTGTCCTAAACTCACATTTTAAACCATGTATGGCAGACAGGCACATGTAGGTTGTCATAAGGCAAAACTGTCCCCAAACAAAACTTCTTGTTTCAGATTTACCACTATTTTATCATCATCAGTATTACATATACAATTCAGAAGACACATGTAGGCTCACTGGTTGTTTTGGATAGTAAATAAAATAGCTGTATTTGAGACCCCTGGCTCCTATGACCACTACTGTAAAGAAATCAGAGGTAAGTTTCTCTACAATTGACCATTACATATCAAACCCTTCTACATGACTTTGTTTATATCCCCATCTACAGAATTATCCTTTAAATACACCAAATGAGCAGAGTGATAGCAGCTGCTACTGGTGTAAGAGAAAACAGAACTGTAAAATGGAACAGAGCATGACAGCATTATTAGAGAACATGTGCTCTTACTTGAGTGAGAGGGAGAAGTCGTTCTTGCTGGTCTCGCTGTTTCTCACCAGGTAACTGGCCTCTTTACATAACCTCAACAATGACTCAGCATCTGTCCGACTGATCGCTCCATGATACCAGCTGAGAGAGAAAGAGAGAGGTGGTGGGGGGTGAGGGGGCATTTTAAAGAGGAAAAAAAAGGCCAAACAATATTCCAATCACAATCAACACAAAGCTTGAAATGATTCAGCAAAATAAAGTCTAATTTACCTTATTTCCCCTCCTTAACCCAAATGTAATCGTTCAGCCAAGACAAGTTTGACATTTAGGAGGTAATATAAGCTTATATTCTTAAATCAAAATTCTAAAGTCTAAAATAGTTTAATATCCTTAAAGCTTAAATCATCAGCTTCTTGCCTTAAACCATGTGATGTTGGTAAGTAAAGTCTATGGTTTCTAAAACTGTATGACATAAATTGATCTACAGAATAATGGACATAAGTACAGAGAACTGGACAGACTTCAAGCTAGCTATGACTATTTTTAGCTATGTGATGTAACGTACTCCATTTTTATAAATAACACTCTCACACACAGCCTCAGAATCCACGTGAGCAAGTCTATTAGAGGTTACCAAACAAATCCATGCAGTTTGAAGCAGTTTGCATGATTGATTTGTGTAGCTACACAAGCTTCCATGACTTACGACACTTCAAACACCCAACACGTCTTGGCTGATTAGAAGTAAACTGTCTAAATGTAATTATTTTTGAGCCCTTGTTCACAGTTCAACTACAGTGCTGCTAGAATGTGTTTATTTGGACACACTCACAACTGACTCTCCAGGGGCATGGTGGGGTCAATGCGCTCTCCCAGCGTCCCGCAGTGCTCCACTGAGCTCATCTTGGTGTTGACCAGGCAGCCGCTGGAGTGGCGCTGAGAGGGCCGTGATTTGCCCTCTTTAGTGGGAGACATCCTACACTTGTCCACCCCCTCAAACTGGACTGCAGCAGAAACACATAGAAAGATAGAGAAATCAAAAACAGAGCAAAAAAATAAAAATACAAATAAAAAAATAAAGCAAAACCAACCACTATGTCCTTTACAGAGGAGGCCAAAGGTTTAGAAGCAACCCTAATGGGTGCTTTTACATCTGCTATTTGCTAACATTGTCTTTAGCTCAGTTCATTTTGACCCAGTGTGAATGTTCCACCCGTACTCGGATGTGCACTAAACAAACGAATCGTAGTCTGCCAAAGATCTTGGATCTCTGTGCACTTCTAAGTGAACCCTGGATCAGTTTGATGCTGGTGGGAACATATTTTCATGATGGTCTGCACCAAAAGAGTGAATTTAACTAGCTGTTATTCTAGCAGTCAGTGCTGTACTGTCCACATAATCTGCCGTTTTAACGTCTGACTCATGACAGACGCTCTTACTGTTCTTGCAGCACGAGCTGCTGCTGATAAAGCCAGTCGGGCAATAAAATAATAGCACAGCAGTGCGTTTGATTTTGGCACACTGAACGTACTTTTAGCCAAGCATCAGCGACCCGGTTAAATTCAAACTGACAAACCAATCTTGAATAAGCAGATATCAAGGTTTAGTTATATTGCTTTGACTGTGATTCACATATGTTAAGTTTCTCTATTTTGTGCACTTAAACCACTACAACGTGAAACTGAACGAACCAAATGAAAAACATATATTAGATTAAAAAAAAAACAAACAAAATAACTGTGGTGCTAAACTCTAGCTAAACTTTCGCAAACGAACCAGATGTGGAAGAAGAGCGTAAGAGATAATATGTTCATTAACTAAATATTGGCAGCAATACGCTAAAACTATCTGAGCTTTATTGGAGCTCTAATCCAAATCACCTGATTCTCTCATAATGATGCACCTGAAGGCCTGAGGAACCGAATCAGGTTTGTTAAAATAATTTGTCTTAGTAACTAATAAAAAACTGTAATAGAGCAGTAATAAAGTGAAGGCTTTCTCCATATAATATACAAGAGTACAACACTGCAAACCAAAGGAAAAGTTCGGAAAGTTTAGTTTGGTTAAAACAGACATCATTCTGTGTTATGATAATTGTTTGCAAATCAACATAAGTACAGTTTGGATGGGATTAGTTTTCCCTGGAGAGGTACGCAGTCGGTGTACACACTGCCTTCACTCCAAGAGTAGAAAAACACTGACATACTCATATTTCTTTACAGTGGTGGTGAAAGGAACCAGGAGTCACAATGTTTACATCACAAATATAGATCTTTCACCTACTATCCAAAACCACCAGTCAGCCTACTTGTAATTATGTAATGCTGCTGTTAAAATAGCAGTAAATCTGAAAAATATGTTGTATTTCAGGACTGTTTTGCCTTATAATGTCCTGCATGCTCCCCTACTCCATGAATAGATTTTGAAAATATGTTTTAATCTATAATCTTAAGACTATTGTAAAACAATGTCTCCATTACAAGTCTGTGTATCTGTAACCATTTCATGTAAAAACTCTCTGTGAGGGAGCTTTTAGTGGTATTAAACGCCTCATACATCTGGTTTCACCACCACAGAGAACAATTATGACTCAGTAAGCTTCTCTAGAACGGATCATTTCACATCAAGCCACACTGAACAAGTTGTGAATGGCAGAATAAGATGATAATTTATCGATGACGATTTGTACAATAATAATGTAATCAAAGGCTATTTTATAGCATTTTTTACAACAGCTGTTGTCACAAAGCTGCTTTACAGAAAAATCCGGTTCCAAGGCCCACTGAGCAGACCAAGGGTGACAGTGGCAAGGAAAAACTCCCTGAGAGCAAGAGGACGAAACCTTGAGAGGAACCAGGACTCAAAACGGGAACCCAACCTCCTCTGGTCGACACAGGATAGCAAAACAATAACACAATATAAGCAATATGAATAGAGCATAATATTTTATAGTTAATATACAGTATTGAATATAGGTTTATTCTGCAGTTTTATAGAAGATAAAAGGTGACAGCATCTGAAAAATGACTAGCATGGTCGATTTGGACAGGACTAAATTCAGTGAAAAACACCAGTAATCACCTCACCTCCCCATGTAAAACTAATCCTAGTACTTTCATGTAAAACATTTCTGAAACAAATTTTATTTATTTTTTTTTTTTTGTAAAATCACTGCTTGCTTCTATACTTCTGCCCTGTAGTGTAAGTGTTTATTTCTCTCCATAACCTTAGAACGAGCCCCAGAAAGAGAGAGAAACAAAACCCACTTTGCTACTTATTTATTATTAGTTTTCTGAGCTTTATTATTTTTTTATTGGTGCTTTCAAACAGCATATCTTTATACAATGACTGTTTGTCTGGGAAGCCCCAGGACAGCATGCTGATGCTCCATGTTTCTGAAGTTTGCTACACAAAAGGCAGCAGCTGAGGTGCTGTGCTTCATACCAAGTTGTAAACCAAACAACCGTCCTGCTCCAGGGCTGCTCCAGCTGAGTACAGAGCGCTCAGGGCCACTCCAGCGAGGGGGCACGCATACTCCACAGCCAGAGTGGGCTGTTAGCAGTGAGGAGGAGAACAGACAGCCTAGCCATGTTCTCTCATTCATCCAACAGATCTGGCTGATATATATGGAATATTTATGATATATCGGTGCTTATTTTTTGGAGATACAAAATAAGACAGCACTGTGAACATCTCCATGACCTTAATGCATTATTTATAAAGGGAATTTTAGGCCATAGCAGCCGTAACAGTTACGTGCGGATTCCTTTGCAGAACAAGGAATGAATGAAACTGGTACAAAATAAATATGATATTTATAAATATTTAATAATATATATTATATATATATATATATTCTCTTGTAAGATTTGTAAAGTAAGAGACGCAACAGTTTGCTTGATAGTTGTACTTTTCTAAAGGATGCAAATGAAAAATATATCATTTAGGCTTGGAAAGTAATAAATAAACAAGACATAAACTGCCTTCAGAGAGTGTCCCAAGACTACTTTAGAACACTCTATATCACCAAAAGGCTTAAAATAGCAAGCTTTTATTTTTTTTTAAACCAGATCACTCGTGCTTGCTCTGCAACACTTTGAAGAGCATCTGTTTAACCAAATAAATAGCAGTGCTGTGTAAACAAAAGCGTGAACAGGGGCCAAATGAAAAGTGTGAGAGCGAAAAGAAGCAGAGACTGAAAACATGCCCCAAAAAACCCATCCGTGTTTAATCATTGAGTGTGCTCTCAGCCGCTGTCAAGGTTAAACACATCCCGTAGATACAAGCGTTTGCATGTGTACAGTGTGGAGGTGCGTGATCCTGCAGGTCCCAGACTGCCCAGACTGGGCCTGAGGACCGCTACTCTACCTGAGAGAGAAATGTGGGAATGCACTCTGACAGAACATCCAGTAAACACTCTACTCTTATCTACTACAGCTAGCATGAGAACTGACCAGTCCTATACCTGTCCACTGATAACACATGGGAAACACACAGAGACACACTCCGCCTGCTAAAAGAATGCTTCTGTGCTGTTTGGAAAGGTACAAGAAGAAACTACAGGATGAGTGAAAACTCAGGAACTGTCCAAATATCTGTTAGACGCTTGAGGTTACATTGATCTCATTGTTTACCATTAAGGTATTAGGTGAAACTGTGCCCATTTTAGTGCTCTCCCTGTTGTAACACACCCATTTCAACTCAGTAAGGGCTTAATAATTAGCTGATTCGATTGGATCAGGTGTGCTGAGAGCCAGGAAAACACTAAACTGTGCAGAGCAGTGGACCAGGGCTGGAAAGCACAGCATTAGCCAAATGGGTGTTAACATATCCCTCTGCCATCTAGAAAACATGTGCTGCCTGGGTCAACCACAACCATGATAACCACACCAAAGAAACCCAGCATCACATAACTCAATGACTATCGCCCAACTGTACTCACATCCATCAAAATGAAGTGCTTTGAAAGACTGTTCTTGACTTATGTTCAGAACTGCCTCCCCAGAACTCTGGATCCTCATCAATTTGCCTACTGTGTGAACAGATCAACCGAAGATGCCATATCCCTGGCAATGAACACTGCATCGAATCATCTGGAGGGCAAGAACATCTACGTAAGAATGCTGGTGGGCCCCATCACTCACAACAAGTAGCTACATTGTTATCTCTGTGGCTGCCTTGGCCGGTGGATTGAGTGACACTATAACGTAGCTATGTGTCTGCCTGGGTCGGCTCCTTGACTGACACTTTAAACTGCTATATAGTACTACTATATAGCATACTGTATAGTATACTATATAGCTAGCAACGCTACATTGCAGCTAAGTGTCTGTCTGGGCTGGCTGCTATAATGTAGCTATGTGTCTGCCTGGCCTGGCCTGCCTGGTTTGTGGCGGGTTAAGTATTTTAAGGATTTATGATTAATATCATTAGAGCCTTCATAATAAGAAAAAACAATCCTGAGTTGAGCTGTTTGTGGAATAACTTACAAATAAAGGCATTTTTAGTTGTTAGTTTACACGTGAAACAATACTAGACTCTTCAAACAGGCATGCAAAGTGACACCTCGACACTGCCTTCCATTCACACAGAGGTCAACGAGGCCAGAGAGGGTCAGAGGGTCACAGGAAGTGCCTGTAGTCCCTGTTTAAAATGGATGTCAGTTCCTTTTCGCTTTAATGTGTGCAAACTGCAGCTTCAGTTAGCTCTGACTAACGTCCAAAGCTTAGTCTTTATTCATACTCACTGTAGAAACAGACTGAGGCTTAAGAGGGAGTGAGGGGCAAGTGGAACCACTGACTCACTGAGCATGCATGTGTGGATATTACAGCAGAGTCTTAAATGTGTATGAGCTCAGCTGACGATTACAATGACCACAATTAGATGTAGAAGAGCAGAGGCTACTAACTAACATGGGGTACAATGTAATAGCCTTTTAATATAGTTAAACAGGTTGAAGTAGAATGTGCTTGGGTCATCTCATATTCTCACAGAAATATCCATA